ATCGACCCTAGTTCTCCTTGCTTTTAAACTGTAACACCTCTTTTCCCTAATTACCCAACAGATAGGGAGCTGGTTATGCACTGGACTATTAATTGAAAGGTTCAATTTCCAGAAGCACCGGGGAAGCAAGGCCTAGTGATGTACTTGTGAAAATAAGCCACTACAACCGTCATGTAACACAGCCCTCTCTGACGTATATTAGGTCATCATGAGTTTAAATAGATTCAACTCAATTGGTTAATTACAGGCTACAAGGTACTATGTTGTTTCAGAGTACTTTTTAAAAATAGAGTGAAGATACCAGTCATCAATTTCTGGGATAGGTGATCTATATTACTCACTGTTAATTCTTTATATTAAATAGGCTTAAGGTTTTAAACTGTGCCTTTTAAAATTATTTTAAAAATAATACATTAGTAAAAAATTAAGAGTCTGTGTTTTAGACAGGCATTTAATTTCAGGTTAAATTTATTATTCATCGAAAACCACATATTATCATATTGTGAATTCTGTATGGTTAATTGTACATCCCAATACATTTTAATTCAGAGATTTTACATTATAATTCATCTGCCATAATAATATTTCCCTATATTTTACCCAGCTTAGGGCTATTATTTCTTGTTAATTTGCACCATCCAGTGAAAGAAACCAATTATTGTACCTTTTATTATGCTTTTTTTACACACAAAAATGGATATCGTCTTTTCTATGCCTTTAACATTTTTTTTAGAGTGAAATTTCCAGGGCTCACCAGCTCCTCTCATGGCTCCTGTTTTCAAGATTTTTTATCCTTTGTATTGTTCTCCACTGACTGCTTGGCAATCTGTCTCTTTTCTGAAATGTGGCATTCTGCTGAACTTCGTTTCCAAATCATAGCCTAATGAGACCTGAATGTAGCTCAATCCATTTTCATGCATGGCATCCCCATTACAATTCCACACACTGTAACATCTGAATATTTTAACAGGGATAAGCATGTTGGCTCATTCAGTTTATCATCCACTGTACATTTTGAATTTTTCTCTCATATTTTCTCTCGTTGCATTTTTGGGTGTCATTAGCCTCTCCAGAACAACTTTTTTTTTTTGACACAATCAATTTTCTGGAATTTAATACCAGGGATTATATCCCTGTGCCAGTATATCCAGATTATGCTTCTTTATAATGTCCACTCCACTGTCATGGAATTAATCCCAACACATAATGATCCTATAGGTACAGAGTAGAACTTCCCAATAGGACTTCCTTTTTTGTAACTGTTGTGGAAGTGTATCAGTAAATCTTTCTCCTACAGAGCCCCTAACCCTAACCCTAACCACAACCCTAACCCTAACCCTAAGCCTAACCCAAACCCTAACTACCCACTTCTCAGTTATTAGTAGAAAACTTACCTGTATAGTATCCCTAACTTTTATTATTAAGCTTTTTAATTGGCACTTAAAAAATTGAGTTAAACAAGAAAAAATAAAGCTGACTGATGTTTTGCTTCAGGTGCATTTAAAAAGAAATGATGCCATTCCCTTCATTGATTCAATTCAAGAAAGTTAAACTCAGCATAAACAACCAGAGTCTAGTATTGCTTTACTATTAAGCTGTCATCCGAAAAACACAGATTAAACCTCTGCTCTTCACTCAGAGGTGGCTCAGTGGGCAGCCAGTGCCCTCGCTGCAGGAGGTTACTTGTATATGCTGAGACCTGTCATCTGGTCGGGTGAGCAAATCTTAGTAAACACAGTTAGTTTCACTTAGCAGGTTTACGCGTCTACTTGCAAAAGCAAGCAATGCAAGAAGATATAAAAATGATGGAGGAAATGACAAAGTAACCTTCACATATTAGGTCCAAATTATTTCATTATGAATAAATGACAGTTATAGAAACTGAAATGAACTGACATATATCATTCATACTGGAATTACAGAAGTGATGGTTTTTCACGTCCCAACCCAGAAATCACCAGGATGATCAGACTAAATGTCAACCCATGTGCATTCTACCTGCACCCCACCCACCGACCTCCACCTCCGGTCAAGCTATGTCCAGCTACCAACCCATATTCACTCTCATAAGTCAGAAAGAGATTCCTCTAAAGAAGTAAGTCATTTTACACCCTTTTGGTTAGCACTTGCTTGACTCATATAGGAAAATTCTTTACTTGTAGCTCTGCCTCTCTGATTAATTTGAACTTCACCTTTTTCTTTGTTTTCCCACCTGGCACTGAGAGGTGCTCTATAAAATATTCTAAAGAGCACATTTAGAATCTATATCTTTAAATGTAGGAAATGGCAGACTTATTTTTTTTCATAGAAAATGTTAAAGCAATGGTACAAGCCCAATTTTTGGTTTAAGGTAAAACTATATGATAATGTCAATAAATTCATTGAAGGGTTAAAAAGTAACTAACTCCTAAGTTTTTTATAAGCTTAAAATTATATCAAAATTCTTTTAAAAAATAAAAGTTTAAACAACAACTATCAACTCTAATAAAAGGCATGTATTGATTTTATGTAGCTTTACATTTTATTTTTATAACCTAGTAATATGTAGTTGAATTGAGCGATGTGATAAGAAATAGGGAGGAAAAAACTTCATTTAACATGTTCGGGTCAAATATAATGTTTCCAGAGACTTAGCAAAAAGGTTTATCATTTGGAAAAGATTTTTAAAATGAAGATTTTTTTTTTATTTCTTCAGAAAACTGATGATGCATTTAATCAGTCATCAATTATATGCTGGGTCAATTGAGAGATATAGTGATAAAATATTTTCCCTCTTAGTTTAGTACAAGGCCCCAAATGAGTAAGTTAACTTAAAGGGCAAACAGAAAAATGCTAGGGGATATGAAATATTATGACAAATTACTAAATATTGCAGTGAAATACTTCCCTCAGCGACCTTTAAAACAGGATTGTTACCCTTTGATCTGGAGCCATTTAGATACTAAATTTAAACATAAGTAACTCTTGACAAGAAAAATGCCAACTTGTTCCATAGCAGCTTACGCGGTCTCTGTTGTTCTCCGTGCTCGTCTGGAACAAGATGCTGCCTCTGCTGTGCATGATGGTTACCCCTGACTCACCCTGAGGAACAGGCATCATCTCTCTAAAGTCCCCCGACTTCCTATTCTGCCCTTCCCTTCCCACAGTAATAAACACAGAGGCCAATAACTGGAGTGGGGCATGAGTTTGGAGTTCAATGTATGAAGAAAATAGGAATATGAAAATCTTTGCAAATATACTTAAAGAAGGTTTAAACACTATAGTAAGAAGATAAATGGATTTTTATTTTTATGCTTAATATTTCTTTCATTAATATTCACATTTTTTCTGAAAACAATTACATTAAATTACTTTAACCACATAGTATGCACTAGTGACCTGTTGGATTGTGACATTTTCAGATAAAATACAAGTTCAAGGTCACTGCCAGGGGTCACTAAAAGAATAAAGATCTCCTTTCATAACCTTTCCATTTATATTTTTTAATATTCATGTTTGTTGTGCTACTTTGCTTATAACATATGCAGATAAATGTTTCTGAAAGAATAACATGGTTTTATAAAGAGCCTTAATGAGATTGCCCCAATTTAATTATTTCATTTCATGGAATGATGGTCAAGCTATCACAACTTGAAACAAGCCGGTGCTTTATACAAGGGTAAATAAAAATTATTGCTATAAAATCATATAAACCTTTTAAAAAATAAAAATATCAAAATGAAATCTTTATTAATTAAAATATCAAATTATGAAGAAGTTGTTATTTCTGGACATATTTCTATACACTTGTAAAGCCAGTGTTTCCATCTCTCTAATTCTAAAGAATCCGAGCCCTTTGATTTACAGCCAGTCAAAACAGCACGTTAGGTATCCGGGTGGACTCAAATCATGCCCTTTAAAATTCCCTTTGAGATTTGGGTACAAAGTGAAATTTCAAGGAGCAAAATTATGGCTGTTTGGTGGATGGGGTAAATTTTCCCAACCAAATTCTCATAATAGCCTCCTCGGCCCCTAAAGAATTAGCAGGTGCATCATATTGATGGAAAAATAATTCCTTGGGGAATATTTCCTGGTCTTTTTTTCACCAATGCTGTTTCCAATTTTTTTTTAGCTTCTTCCTGTAAGTCTTTGTGATTGTTCAGTACCCTTCAAGAAAATCTGTCAGAATTACTCCTTTGGGATAAAAAATACCAATAAACAGTTGCCATCACCTTCTGGCTGATCTCTCTGTCTTGAATTGAAATGGGTCAATGGAGCCCCACAAAAGCCGCCGCTTTGACTGAATTTTTTCTTGAAAGCACCTTACTGTCCTCATGAAGGAGCCTGATGTCCTCGTACGTTTTGCATTGAGCAGCAGTGTAAAGCCACGGGCTGCTTGAGGGTAGCTGCTTCCATAACCATCGGCAGGCTGGAAACTCCAGGGAGCAGTGGGTTGTACCTTGTCCTATCCCAATGAAAAGCTTCCCGCCCCTGGGTCAATTCAGACCAACAGTGACCTTGTAAGTCAGAGAGAACTGCCCCTGTCGGTTTCCAAAACTTTAACTCTTTAGAGGAGTAGAACACCTCATCTTTCTTCCACCTATAAGCTTGCTAAAAGTCAGAATCGACCTATGGCAGTGAGGATTTTGTTGTTATTGTTTTTGCCTTCAGTTTAATGCCTTCATGAGACTAAGGTAAGTATATAACTTAGAGAACTCCTCTAGAGCACTGATGGCAGAAACATATTTTGTTTAGGATAGACCCAAGTATGTATGAGCTGAAACAGTAGGAACAACACTTTTTGACTTAGCTTCATACCTGAAAAATAAGGGCATAGATTAAGGATAGCCTAAAACGTGGAATACATTGTTACTTTCAAGCCATTGTGTCTTAAACTATGAACCTGCACAAACGTCCCTTTGCTTTTTCTCTAATACTTCAGCATTGAAAACGGAATGCATCTACTGAGACTCGAAAGCAGTTTTAAATCATATGAGAAATACAGGACTTTTTCAATTTACCTGTTCCTGTTGCTAGAAATCCAATCTGATATAAGTGTTGATGCCTGTTGGTGACAGTGCTTGTTACCAAAACTGCAGGCCAGCATGATAACCTCTCTGCGTAGTTCTCTAGGTAGCATCAAAAGGAAGAAAAATGAAATGAAACAGCAGTGTTACTGTCTGAAGAGAAAGTCAGGGCAACATTAAATAAGCAGTTGGTTAGTAAAGAATTAATATAAAGATAGATGTTTTTTTAGATCCTGAAATCATAAACTACTGGCTAAGCAGAGATTTATAAAAGTCAGAGCTGGAATCATTACACAGGGAAGGGTATGCGTTCCTATCACCAATTAAGGTAGAGTTCACATGAAGCATGGCAAAGATCCCTTTGTTCTCAGGGTCAAGCAATGGACCTGCTACCCAGCAGCAATCCTCCCAGGAAGAGGAAATGAAAGATCAGGAGGGAAAGAAAGATTGTCTCATGCAGCTAAAATCACAATGCTACTAGTACTATTTTATTGTACAGCTCATGGCGAAATTGAAAGAATAATCAAATAATACAGTACTCATGTTGGTAAGATGCTTGAACAAGGGATCCATTAAAATTGTTTTTTGGCCATCCAAGTTTGATATATGTTGTTGCAACTTGCTTTAAAATATATTCCTAAATGGAATAAGGAAGGTAGAAAAATAATGTCAGTTTTAAACATCTCTATTCTGACTATTAAAATTTTATAATAACATTAACATACTTTCTAAATATAGCTGCTTTCAAATAGCAGGAAAATTATGAGCACAATAATTTCCCATTACAATTTTATTTAACTTAGCAATTCAAATATAGGACATACAGATTTAATACTATCAAAATTTGGAAGTCTACTTTTCCTATTGTACAACAGAGTGTATTATAATATTAAATATTCCAGATGACAATGTTTACAACCAAATGAATAAATAGTAAAGTTGATGATACTTGGACTTGATATTCAAGAAGAAACACTGTATATCTATATAAAATGCACTATAGATATACTATAAGAAAGTGAGCACATAACATTTATTTTATACCAGTAGAATATATTTAAAGTATTACGATATATAGGCCCAGCCAGCCTACAGTCTATTGTTTAACTGACATCCACAGAATGCTCTTCAGTATAATTATATGGTATTTCAGAATCAACAATCGATCCAGCTAATGATATACTCAAAGCAATTTTTAACTTTTACTGAAAATGAAATGCCTGGCATTATGCACTATTTTAAACCAAAAATTATACAAAAAATGTGTTTTACTTTTACAAAAGTTTCATATTACAGTGTGTTTTGTTAAGGGAAAAAGAAAAGTATATGTCTTTCTCTAGTAGATATAATTTGTACATAACGGAAATGGCACATTTCTTTGCACGTCTGCTGTAAGAGTTGAGACAAAACTAACAATGAATGCTCAAGGCATGATTGGCCCTTTAAATAAACAACCAGGGTGCTTTCAAGTTAGTTTAGGGTACAAAAGAAGCACCTGTGACAGCTGCCTTACATTTATAATGGCCTGAATAGCCAATTTCATGACGTGGCAATAGAGTTTCCAAATGTGTAAATGAATTAGTATAGTCAATATGTCATAAGATGTAGGACGGTGTAGAAAACAGAGAGCAGGCTCTTTAACTGAAGGAGAGTAAAGATAATAGAAGGCACAGAAATGTATTGTCAAATGCAAAGCCTCACAACTGATAGAAAATTTAGAAATCAAAAGCTTACTAACAGTATTTAATCCGAATCTTATTTAAAATGATTATTAAATTAGATTAGGCGGTGTTAGCAGTGCAATTTGGTTTCCCAGGCTCCAGCCTCCGGAAATCTGGTCAGGGTGTTGGAATGTGGGTCATGTCCTCACGTCTATTTGGATTATCTGTTGTTTGCCCTCCTGTGTCCCCTTGGACCCAATTATGAATGGGCTTTTGCCTCAGTGTTGATCTTATCCTCGTTAATTAAGGAAGCGAATTGAATTCACTCTGCCCTTTTGGATAAAAATAATGACTGTGAATCCTTACTGAAACTGTCTATATTCTGCTAAGATCTTTGGAACCTCTCTACCCAGGTTAAGTCCTCTGTGAATACAGAGTCCTTTAACTATCGGGACGTAGGTTTGAACTTTAAGGATTTGCCACGTATATTTGCTCTTAAATCCTGAAGCATTCATTGAAGATTATTGACACGTTGAGGTATGAACAAAAGGTAGCTTGTAATAAATTTCTTCCTCGCATAATTTTCATCAGTGTGGAAGAGAAAAATCAGGACAAAAGTAATCACACAAATTAGAAGAAAGAACTAAAATACTGTAGCATCAATGGTGAATAGCAGATAGTAAAATAATAGTTTATCTTATGAAAGTAAGAGATCATATGTGATTACATTGAAGACGTTATAGTTCTCCATGCGGTCCAGCAATTTATCTAGAGGATAAAGAGCTCGGCTGGCAGCATGCCAAGGAAGAAAATCCTTCTCCTCGGCTAGGTATCTGATCATCTCCAGGGGGATATTCTGAGGCAAGTAGCCGGCTCTGTACAAACAAAGAATTGAATGTTAATGAGGTGTATAACAGATACATGATGAGGCAAAAATGAAGGTTTTACATATACAAATAAAAGACTACCAGCATGATTTGTCACAGAATAAAGAAGCCATACTTCGTGTTTAAAAATACAATTATTCACCTTTTAACTACCTCAGAAGATGCCAATGCCCCTTAATATATAGCAAGTTAAAAATTTAACGAACACACAGAAAACTAGACTATGTATGTTTAAAAAGGAAAGATTGCTGAATTTGGATAAAAATCAACCCTTTTTATTTTCATTCACAGAAACGGTTCCGAGGTAAAAAGTAAATGAAAATAATTGCTCATTGGCTTGAAATTTTGGTTTCTCCATGTATTCTTGTTGCTTTTCATGTAGTTCTGTGTCATGACTGCTTTAAAAAGCAGGGTCAAATAATAGAAAGCAGCTCAAGATTTTTGACTGCTACCTTGAAGTGTATTTCATATCTGTTTTTAAAAATAGCACTGCTTTTTATAATACCTATAAAAATCAGAGTATGATTCTAAAAGAATTCAAAAACAAAAATGTTAAAAATTTAAAAAATTTAAAATATTATTATCTTTGGATTTCCAATATGATTTCATATTCCTTTGGGGACCAATGTCAGATTTCTTGGAAGATATTAAAATGTATCTCTTTAAAATTATCTAAATATATACCGTTTGTATTTAAAAAGCCAATCCTCACCCTCCCACCCCCCCTGATCTCTCCCCACCAAAACAAAAACCCAAACCAAAATATGTATCTCTACTCTCTGGTAGACTACATACACAATTCTTATAAAATCAATGCAATATAAACTGCAATTTTCAAGAAGGCATACCAATCTTAGAATAATCAACCATTTGAGATCCAAAGGGCAGCATTTACCCAAGGACAAAATTTACAAAGGTTAGGAACGGAAGAAAAAGACAACAGAAGAAGAAATGCCGGAAGGGAGTGGGAGATGTGACGGTACATCGAGGGAAATGCAATCAGTGACATGAGACAAAATGTGTATGGACTGCTGCATGAAAAATAGACCTATTCTGCAAACGTTCACCCAATTCATAAATTTAAAACATCTGAAAAAATACATAATTGGCAAATAATATATTTTATGTCTTTAGAACCATGATCATAGCCTATTAGATTAACTAAGGAACATTAGTTAGTTTGCCACATTATTTAGTCCTAACTTGATGTGCCAAACAAAATTTATTCTATAAATAAACATTAGCTTAAAACTACATTTATAATATTCAACATGAAGACACACCTCATGGGACAACTTAATTCTCAGTAAAAAGAATTGCAAAAATTACCCCAAATTCTTATATAATTTCAAAATTTCCTAGAGCTAATATAGCTTATATATGGCTATATGTGTAACACTTTTCTTGCACAATTTCAATTCTACCCATCCTTGCAAGAACAGTATGATAGTTGACCATGGCAACCAAAATAAGCAGCTTTATGTCTTTGCTAGGGTCACAGTTCAATCATATTTAAAATTTTATTTCACGGGTAATTTACTAATGAAAATGGTATACAATATTTATAGAAGTAATTACTAGATTTTCTTTCCTAAAAGAACCATGTCGTCCAATATTTTGTGCTCGTATCATTTGTCTCCCTGAATTTTAAATTTTAAACATTGATTAGCATGTTTCTCATAAAATTGCCTCCACTTAACATATGCCATGGATTATGTTACATTGGCACTGAAAAAAATTATTAAAAATCCATTATTCTATGCTGAAGGAAAAATATTTCTAAATAAAATTGTTTAGCAATTAGATACATTATTTGGACTTTTCAAATTCATTTAAATGTGCAAAAATTTGCATCTGCATTTCTATATATTGTCATAATAGTTTGAAACTAAGCAAAGAAGTATTGCTTTATTAGAGAAAGTATCATTATTGTAACTTAATAATATTAAGTTAGTAATAAAAGTTATTATTCCTTGACACATCTCCCGTCTAGGTCTATACACTCCTGAAAGCAATGTTCCCATCTCTTTAACGCTTCCTGAAAGAATTCTGCACTCTGCTTTACACAACATCAAACTGGCAGGTTTGGTAATTTTGAGGGACTCAATTTGTATTCCTTTTCAAAGTTCTCTGAGATTGGGGAATAAAATGAAATCTAAAATGTGAAGATCAGGCCTATAGAGTGGATAGGGTAAGGTTTCCCAGATGAAATTCATATGGGACAACCCTGATGTCATTGAAAAATGAACAATAATATTACTGACATGGAAAAAAATTACTTGGTGCATCTTTCTTGGATGTTTCTTATCAATTCCGTTTTTCATCATTTTGGAGTATCTTCGTAATAAGTACCTATGCTTATCCTGCAGGTTTGGGGAAAGCTTATCAAGATAATCCTCGATGAATGCCACAGCAATAGTGATTTCCTATTGAGTTGACTTCCCTGACTTGAAGTTAACGGGCTCAACACATCCCCTCGGAAGCCACTGCTTTCACTGGATCTTTCCCTCTGGGTCATATTGTTCATTTTAAGGTCTTCTTGATATTCCTGAAAGTGATTGATCCATGTGAAAAAAAAGTTTTTGTGGGGGTCATTCCCATGAATTTGTTGCACAGATTCAATGATTTGTGAAGATGTCCATAGAAATTTTATTAAATATTTGATATTAGTCTTGACCTCAAACTCATTACTTTCCATGGCACCTAAGTATCATATTTTTGAAGGCACTCTAATAAAACTAAGGCTAGTGTACTACTGAGAGAACTTGTCTGCAGCTATCCACTGATTATAGAAATGTGTGTTGTTTGGAATAAACTCAAGCATATATGAGCTAATTCCTTGTAGCAATACCTTTTGATTTATCCTGTGTTATGTCAATTGTATTTAATTGGTTTTGCATCATTTCTGTAAATGGATTCACAGTATTTAATAATTATGCTCTCTGAGAAATATAACCACAAATGAAAAGTGCATAGATCCTGTACAAAAAGAAACATTCACTTGAAGAGTATAGACTACGTCTCCCACCTATACTCTATAATATAAAACAAATAAATCTCTCACCCTCATTTTTGTTAGCAGTGAAATAAGAATATCGAACCACAAGATATCCCTTTTACTTCTCCATTTTCCTCTAAGTAACATATCCACGTGACAGTGCTACGGGTCTGTGGGGAGACGAGCTGTTCTTTGTTGTCTGTTCTTAGTCTGGAAGCTCCGCTGAAACCATTTCACTTTGGGTGATTGCTGGCATTTGAAATGCCAGTGACATGGCATCCAACATCACAGCAATCCATGTACCACCTCAATATGACACACTGATAGACAAACTGGATTATATAAAGAAGAGTGTAGCACTAAGATTGGAGGAAGGCTTATTAAGAACCAGGGGTATGCAGATATCACAACCTTGCTGAAAGTGAAAAGGACTTGGAACACTTGCTGAGAAAGAGCAAGGAGGGTAGCCTTCAGCCTCTATGGAGGAAGACCAAGATCCTCATAGCTGGACCAATAGGCAGCATCATGATTAAGGCAGAAAAGATTGAAGTTGTCAAGAATTTCATCTTACTTGGATTCAAAATTAATACTCATTGAAGCAGCATTCAACAGATCAAAAGACATATTGCATTAGGTAAATCTGCTGCACAAGACCTCTTTACAGTATTCAAAAATATGCATGTTACTTTGAGGTCAAAGGTAGACCTAACCCAAGATATGGTATTCTCCGTGGCATCTCATATGCATGTGAAAGTTGGATGTTGAATAAGTAAGAAAGAAGAAGAAACGATGCACTTGAGTTGTGCTGCTGAAGAAGAATATTGAAGTACCAAGTACCGCTAAAAGGGCAAACCAATCTGTACTGCAAGACGGCCAGAGTGTTCCTTAGAGGCATGGGTGGCAAGACTACATTTTACATACTTTGGACATTTTGTCAGGACAGACCTAGCCCTGGAGAAGGATATCGTGTTTGGTAAAGCGTAAGGGCCGTAAAAAGAGGAAGGCCTTCAAGTAGATGAACTGACACAGTGCCTGCTTCCATGGGCTCAGGCATAGGAACAACTGTGAGGCTGGTGTAGGACCATGCAGTGTTTCGTTGTGTTACATGTAGGGTTGCTATGGGTCAGAGCTAGACTGATGGCACCCAACAATACCATATCTATAATGCAGTATGCTGAGAAATTATGATAACATATGAGCTTCTCTGTTGGCTGTTAGTACTTGCACTTGAGTTGGTTTTGACAGCGGCCCTCTGGACATCAGAACAAAACACTTCCCAGATCTGTGCTATTCTAATAATTATTGTTCTGTTTAACCTCGTCGTTGCATCCACTTTGTCATTCCATCTTACTCTCTTCCTTTCTTTCAGTGTCCATCTACTTTACCAAGCATGATCTCCTTCTGCAGGGGCAGGTCTCTGCTGATAATAGTCCAAAGTATGTGAGGCAAAGTCTTGCCATCCTTGCCTCTAAGACACATTCTAGCTTTTCTTCTTCCAAGACAGATCTGCTTCTCTTTTTGGCCATCATGAAACTTTCAATAGTGTTCACCAACACCATAATTCAAATGCATCAATTCTCCTTTGGTGTTCTGTATTCCATGTGCAGCTTTCACATGTGCATGACATAATTGAAAATACCATAGGTTGGGTCAGACCGACCTAAGTCCTCAAAGTAATATCCCTGCTTGTCAACACTTTAAAGATGTCTTGTGCAGCAGATTTACCCAAAGCAATACCTTATCTGCTGCTACTATGAGAACTGATTTTGGATCCAAACAAGATGAAATCTTTGACAACTTCAATCTTTCCTTCATTTATCATGATGTTATTTCGTGGTCAGGTTGTTAGGATTTGGGTTTTCTTTATAATGAATTGTAATCCACAATGGAGACTGCAATCCTTGATCTTCATCAGGAAGCACTCCAAGTCCTCCTCACTTTCAGCAAGCATGATTGTGCCATCTGTGTATTGCAGGTTATTGATGTTTCC